TTGCGAAAAGTGGTCTACCGCAACATTTTTTAAAAAAACGTTGCTAAAACTCATTTATATTAACCTATGGCAACATTCACTTACGAAAATGTTGCCAAAAGACCATTTTGGCAACATTTATCAACAAATGTTGCCTTTTAAATGTTGCTAAAGACCATTTTTGTTGTAGTGCCTCCAATGGCCTCTCTTCCGCATTATTGATGACAACTTCCCTTATAAATAGCTTATAATCTAGGTTTCCATAACATAAATTTCCATCACCAATTTCTACTCTATTTTTTGCCTCCAAAGTGCACATAGAATCTATTCGGTTCCAATCAAATCAACTATCCAATAAACTCATGCAGAATATCAGTTTCTCCACAAAATCTTGATTCCAGCATTTAAGGAACGCAATTTCTTCTTTTGTGCTATAACAAAGCCTCAGATGAAGATTCCGGGTGGTAATGGCAGGTTGGATTAAGGAATCACTTAGCAATGCACTGGATATTAGTACAAGAATCCGAAGACGGTGATCGAGACTACAGATCGTTTTGAACGATTCTGGTGTTCGATTGGTCGAGGATACAGTTGAAATAAAGTTGGCTGATTTTCTTGTTTTGGAGGAGAAGAAAGAAGCACAAGGTGAGGTTGTGTTTTGGGAGGATGTTCTTGGTCACAATATTCAGCTCTCTTTGCTATTTTTTGTCCAGGTGAATATAAGTAGCGGCAAATACTATTATCTTTATTAATGCATGTTTGATAAGCTTAAAATTTTACTTAAAAGAAAATAATTTTTTTGTTGATAATGTCATCTAAAATGGTGCTTGAGAGAGCACATAGTATATCATTTAAATTTTGTGTTCAATATATCCCTTCATGCAGGGATGGATTTAGGATCAAGCTTAAAAAAATGATATAAAAAAAAATATACACATAAAAAAATATTTTTTACACACAACCATCAGAATGAAATGGACTGGGGGATTGGATTGGGTTGTAGCCCGTCCCAGTCCCTTCTACATCCCCCCTGCCTTCAGGTGATGAATTCATTTTCTTATCGATAGATTCATAGTTTTCATAAACGAATGACTAGATACTTGAACATACGTCATTAAAACCTTAGGGATTGTTCTCTTTGTGTTTCAGTTGTGTATTTTGAGTTTTGAATTCATTTTGGGTTTTGTGTTTTGAGTGTCCATTTTGAGATTGTTGAAAATGTGGTCTTTTTGGCATTTTGATAAATTATTTTCAAAAAAAAATAAAAATGGAAAGCCTTGTTTCTCTCTGCTTTTCCATTTCCAAGCTTTACACACAACAATGACAGCTTTCAGACACCTCTTCTCTCAAACCCAACGTCATTACTTCTCCAAAACGTCACTGCACCACCTTTCTTCCCTCCTTCTCCGCCGCATCTTCTCCGCAGAACCCGACCCAGATGCCAATCCCAACTTCCATAAACCCCTCCCTATCCAACCCATTTCCTACCCAACTAGAACCCAACCTCCTCCATCCCAAGAAACCCAGTCCCAATCCCAATCCCAACCCCGAATCTCTACCTGAACAAATCCCACCTCAAGCTGACCAAGGTACTCGGACCTGGAACCGGGATAAAATGCGGTACATCGAGGATGCCCCGGTGATTTTCCCAATTTCGTATCCGTCCAGGGTTGTCCCCTTGCCTGAGGACCGTGTGAAAGAAGATGAGGATGGTAGTAAAAATGAGAGGAAGATGATTGATGACGATAGGTGGAATGCTATAATGACGAGGAGAAGGGTATTGGGTGAGGAACAGGATGACGATCATGTTGAGTTCCCGACCTTGATTAAAGGTAGTGGTGTTGCTAGTGGTGGTTTTCAGGCTCGGCGACGATTTTCAGGCGATGATTGATGACGATAGGTGGAATGCTATAATGACGAGGAGAAGGGTATTGGGTGAGGAACAGGAGGACGATCGTGTTGAGTTCCCGACCTTGATTAAAGGTAGTGGTGTTGCTAGTGGTGGTTTTCAGGCAGCGGCGACGATTTTCGGGCGATGGTGTAGTGGTGGGTCGCAATGGTGCAGTGGTTGGGTCGCGGTGATTGAAAACACTCAAAACACGTTTTGAAAATTTTGGTTTGATTATAACTGAAAATATCCAATGGGTTTTCTTTGTAAATTTTTAACTTATTTTCAAAAACGCGTTTTCGAAAGTAAGAAAGAGAACGCTTTTTCAATGTTTTGGAAAATCAAAAACAGAAAGCGGCTTGAAAACGGTAAAGAGAATATGTCCTTAAACTTTAGGATAAAGGCCACATTATGCATTTAAATCTTGTCTTTTACAGTTTTAAATTGAATATCCTTTATCTTAACTCTAAATTTAGAGGTAAGGCTCTAAACTATTGATAACTAGTGTCGATTTCCCAACCTTTTAGATAGAGTGATTTTAAGTCCCTCTAGATCCCCTACATGATGAAAGCTATCGATGTGGAAGTTAAATCTGCACTCAACTTCCACGTCGCTTAAAGCTGGACATTAAACCCCTATTTTATTCCCTTTACTTTAATTTATATTTCACATTCATTTTCAATCACACATTCACGCAACAAAATACTCTACACGTAAATCCAAAATTTTTCCATACTTTTTAATCACGCATTATCCAAAAAATACTATTCAAAAAATATATATTTTTGAAATAAAGGCCAACAAACATGTGCTAAGTGGTTTGACATGTTTGCCTCTCCAACTTTAAGTTAGGAAACAAACATTACATAAAAGTAAATGTAAAGTATTTAATCTTAACCAAACATGTAAGTTAGGAAATTATGAGTAACTTCAAATTATTTCGTGAAGGTTTCATATGACATCTATTTGGTAGAGATTAAAATTAAATTTTTAGTAGATTTTGATTAAAGTTGATGAAATGTGTGGTTGAAAAGATGTGGGACCTAAGAAATATGTGATTAAAATTAATTGTTGACCTTGATTTAAATTAAAATTTTAATTTTAATCCGTATCAAACAATGGCTATATAGAGGCAAATCGTGTTGTGAGTATTAGCTCTGTAGATACTGATGGTTGTTGTAGTGATTTGATTAGACAACTTAGCATGAAAACAACAATAAGTCCCTGTTTGGTGGGGGTCAAAATTAAAATTTTATTAAAGTTGAAGTTGACAATCAATTTTAACCACATATTTTATGAGATTCATAATTTTTCAAACATACATTTCATCGAATTTCATCAAAATTTACTAAAAATCTAATTTGAATTCTCACTAAATGGGAGCTAAGTGAAAAACGTGGTATAGAAGGTGTAGGGTCCATGTTGAAAGTAGTTCACTTTATTTCTAAGTACAACCAACCAGCTCAACTTATGAGAACTAGAGTCAAGGCTTCTTTCACTTTTATTTTTATTTTTATATATTTAATGTATGTTTTGTAGGATTTTGGGGCTCCAATATTCTGCTTCAGTTTCTGGTTCGATTTCTGACCTATTTTGGTCGATTTTTCACCACCAAAATCACATATTCTTCAACAACACAAGCTCTGATACCATTTATAGGATTTTGGGGCTCCAATATCCAATTTCCGGGCTCAGAAAACAACCAAACGACACCACAATCCGACAAGGCTCGACCCAAACTCCCTTACCCGGTTGAACCAAGATTTACATCCACAAAGGATGATGGTGATTGCAAACCCACAAAGGGAAGGGGGAGAAGAGAATACAATGGTTGGAACTCACCAAGAAATCCACCAAACCCGGTTGCCTTTCATCCTCACAACTCGGCTGCCCTTTTTCTCTCGTTTCTCTCCCTCTCTTGCAAGACACACACACTACACGGTTGGAAACATGGGTAGTATATAGGGCACATAATAGGTTACTTAATTGGGCCAAGGCTAGTGCAAATGGGCTGCCACTTAACCTAAACTAATGGGTTAATATCCAAGTCCATACTACTTAATGGTCCACCTAACCTAAAAACCATCCAACCCAAACTTGGGTAATCCAAAAGTATAGGTCGTATCCGAGTCGAGCCAAGTCTATGGTGTCGATAAATAATTTTTCATTTTCTTTTGTAGTACTTTTAAGTACAGTTTAATTCACAATATCAAACATGTCATTATTGTCTAAGGTTCTTTTTCATCTTTTTTATTCTTGCAATAGTTTTACGCCACACGAATAGTTCTATTTATTTTATATTATATTTATTTTATATTACAAAGTTAAACTACTTTTAGAAATAATGTACTTGCGCATAATTTTCTACCATTTCGTGGCTCGAGTTCACCTCAATTAAGTAAGTGGCTCAAGTTGATTAGCTTGAAATAGCTTAAGTCCGACCCGAGAAGTTCATTAACAAATGCAACAACTTACTATACACAGACAAAATGCACAAGACATGTTTGGTACAACAAACATTATTGATCAATACAACATACAAGATTCAAACTTATTTTCTTCGTTAATAACGTTTGATACCGTAAAATCTATGTTTATAGATAACCTCAAAGTCGGCCCTGACTATAGGCGGCGTAAGCTCACCTAAAGTCCCATTTTGATGAGAGTCTCAAATTATGTAAAGTTAATTGACTAGTTGAAGAAAAACAAAAATTATAATTACAAAATTCTTTAAATTAGAACTATCATATGCAAACACAATAAACTAATAAAATTCGAAAATACAAATATCTCTAAAAAAAACATATAAATGGTATAAAACTTATCACATATATTTATGTGTCACATAAATATATCACAACCATTACTTTCTCTATATAATTAATTTGACAATTTTTCTTCTCAACCATCATTTTTCTAATGTTCTCATGGTTTCTTTTTTCTTAACAAGAAACAAAATGTTACTTTTCTCTCTTCAAAATTAACGGCCATTTACTTTTTCTAATGCTCTCATGGTAGATCTTACACTTATTTAAGGAATTACTGCTAAAAGCATTGATATTTTTTCAGTATTGATTAATATTTTAATTAAACTAATACTTCTCCATGTGTTATGCAATCTAGTTTGGAATTTTTCCGATTCACTTAATACTCTTTTTTTTTCCTTTCTATGTTTGTACTGGAATTTAAATCTTGTATTTTGTCTTCCAATTTTCTTCATTATGTTTAATTGTATTTAATTATTTTTTAAGTTGAAATCAACAATCAATTTTAATAACACATTTTATCAACTTTTATCAGAATTTACTAAAATTTTTATTTTAATCTCTATCAAACAGGAACTTAATGAATATAGAGGTCCCATAGTTGAAGTTTGCATAAGGCCTCCAAACTATTAGGACCGGCCATAACCTCACGACTTTCAACAAGAGGAAATTACATATAAATAGGTATTTAAGTTTTCCAATTTAAAAATCAAGTATGAAATTTATTTAACCACAAATCATATATTTATTGTATTATTAATAATATTATAAAATTTACCCTCCCACCCCCCAACCCTACTACAAAACCTAAATTATTTCTCCATCCACATCTCACTCTTCTCTCTACCATCTCCAATCACAGAAACCACAACCAGCCCCACTCATAACCTCTACCATTCAATTTATATACAGCCCAGAGTTTTCCCAATTTTGCACCCCTAATCGGTAACAACCTCAAACCCTTATTTTTAGTCTGCCTCTACAGTTTACAGCGAACTCATACAAACATGCCCTTAATAAATCGGCGCTCACTTCATCTTGAAAGGCGACGACGCTCATAGGAACGCCGTCATCGATAGGCGGTGCTATAAGCGCTGAAACTCTGAAACGTCTGGTCCGACTTTAGATCTAGCGATCGTGGTTGGAGGTATGGCAGTGTGATGTTGTGATATGGTATTGTTGGTGTTACTCCTCGCCTCCAAGGCTCAAAGAGACAATGCCACAGTAACAAGCCACGTAGGCAAAAAGTCAACAAGAAAGTCAAATAAAGACTCATGAGACAAAAACACGAAGAAAGCAAATAAGGCCGAAAAACTTACACTGTACGCCGAAGCCCTTACACTGCAAGGACGAAGTCCAAGATGAGGCACTACCTCAAAGACGAAACTGCCTGAGGAAACAAAGAAATGAGCTGAAACTCTCCACTTAGAGAACAACTTCGAAGATTTCTCCGAGGCTCTCAACCCGTCTGAAGCTCGCAAGGCTAATGTTGTTCCTTGTAACAGATTCAAAGATCTCTTAGAAGTGATTAATGTAATACTTATAATAAAGTTCGTCAGTAAGTCAGTATATTGTATAGATCGACTGACCCCTTATTAATATATTAATTGTATGAATAGATATGGATATGATGTCCCAATTAGGAATATGAGGCCACGTGGTTCTAATCCAACGGTCACCACATCGGCCAAAGTAGTATAAATAGGTTCTCCTGTAACTTAAAAAGAGGTTGGATTATTGATTAGAACAGAGACAATCAAATATATTCAAAATACACATTTGAACTCTAAAGAAAAAATATACAGACACTATGCTTATTTTCCTATCTTCTTGGTATGTTTAGGAGTTGTAAATCTCAATATACAACGTAACAATCTCAAGGCACATCATATCTATCCTTCCATATATTCTAGTTTGTTATTACACAAATTAGTTTGATTTTAATCAGGCAACCGTTGTTATCGCGATTGCTTTTGTTTCATCTGCTGAAGTTTGAACATTTTTGTCTCTTGCCGCAAAGTATCTTCCGCGTCCATCTCCTCTTTGTTACCGTCGTTATTCCGGTAAGAACGCGTCTGAATCGTGCTTGATTTGGAGTGAGTGAGCCCAGCATCTGTTGGCTCATTTTCAGGGGTCAACGGTTGGTGGTTTTGGTTTGATAAAGGAGGTGATGATGTTGGATTTCATATTGTGGTGGCGAATACAGCAATGCTTGTGGTGTTGTCTTTGCTTTTGAAG